CACCAGCAATGAACAAGTGTACCCTTTTCCCCACATCCTGGCCAGCACTTGTTGTTGTTTGACTTCATAATGGCTGCCAATCTTACTGGAGTGAGATGGTATCTTAGGGTGCAAAACCTGTATCTTGAAGAGACATTTGTTCTCCTATGTTAATTGCAGCACTATTCCCAAGACATGGAAACAACTTCAGTGTCCATCAAATGAAGACTGGATAAAGAAAATGTGGTATATATTCACAATTGAATACTACTCAGCCTTCAAAAAAGGAAGAAATACTGCCATTTGTGACAACATGGTAAACCAAGAGGACATTATAGTAAATTAAATAAGCCAGGCACATAAAGACAAATACTTCATAATCTCACTTATATACAGGATTTTAAAAAGTCAAACTCACAGAAGCAGAGAGCAGAATGCTGGTTACCAGGGTGGGAAGTAAAAGAGTTGGGGAGATGCTGGCCAAGAACACAAAAGTTCAGTTAGACAGGCAAATAAGTTGAAAGGATCATACATCACAGTAACTACAATTGGTAACAATGTAACCTTGAAAATTACTAGGAGATTTCAAGTATTCTCAGCACAAAAAAAGTATGTGAAGTAACTCATATTTTAATTACCTTGGTTTAGCCATTTTGCAATGTATACATGTATCAAAATATTGTGTATATCATAAATATATACAGATATGTAAATTTTGTTAATTAAAATATATATGCAGAGTAGGGAATAATCAGTGTGTAGTTGAAACTGAGGCTAGGCACAAGTAAAAGGGAAGAGTTATCCAAAAGAATGGGTATTTCTCCAGTTCCATTATTTCCTTTTACAAGTGTGGAATATATAACATCTATTCCCTTGAAGGTCTTGGGGAATGCAATGTGAAATTCCTAATGAAGGTGTGTTAGCTCTTGTTCTCCCTTGGCCTCCGCTAAAAACTCCATCAGATTATCAACTTCATATTATAGCCCCTAACTCTATTACTTCCTGTATGTCTGCATTGTAAGTAGAAAGAAATAAATTATCTCATTTTAAAATTTATTTCTCACCGGGTAAGTCTTCTTACTCAAACCTAAAAGTTTAAGTTTTAAAAAAGTAGCCATGGCTTGTTGTAATTCTCTGTATCCAGTGTACCTAGCAGCACTGGGCTGGACACATGACAATCATTTACAGTAAGTTTTTTCAAAATGAATACATGACCAATAACATGATGATCCAATTTATAGCAGAGACAGAAATGGAACACACAATATAAGATGTTTAAATATGATTGCATGCTTCATACTTCACCATACTTCACTTATGTCATACTTTACAAACCATGAACTAAACTTCCTGGTTAAGAAACCACAAAGAAAATTACATGGGCTTTGCTTATGCAACTAAACAAGAGCTATCCACCCCTTCTCCTTCTCCTACCCCGTCTCTCTCTTTCTCTCTCAGATCTCTAGAAATAGGAATGTTGAAAAACATTCCAGTACAAAGAGGCAAGTAAATACTTTTTAAATCAAATATTTGTATCAAAATGTGCTATAAACACACACCCAAAGAACACATAATAGTAAAATGCTCAAGCAAAGTACAACAGAGACTATGATTATAATATCTAGACCCTGACAGTCAATGAATTCCATTTAAGCACTGTACTTATAGACTATGCCTTCCAGTTAACTTTACAGGGGACAAAACTGTCATATATCAAGTTAGCGTGACTCACCATTTATATAGAAGGTTATCATGTGTAAACTTTGGGCTCTTCCACAGAGCCTTGTCTGCTAGATCTCTAATTACTGGATTCTTAGCACAAGACACTTCATTTGATTCTACATTACCAACTGAAAATTAAATGATTTAGTATGTTCTACAGTGAGTTATCAAATTGCCTCTTTTGCTCAGTTCAACTATTTAAAATAAGTCCAAATACATTGTTGTTTAACAGAAATTCTAGATCTAAGGTTCACTAGAAAAGATGAAACTAAATTAAAAGTTCTTCAATCTGCTTTTCAGGATCTGACTGGCAGTGGGTTAAAGTTTAGGTTCATTTTCATTTTATAGGATATACAACCACTTCCCTCTAAAGGTGAGTTGCCACTAGCTAGCCTAGCATAGAAATGGCCTCCAGGAACACTCTTCCTACCCACTCTCCCAACTTACTGGGCTTGATGACACAAATATCACAGTACATGCAAAAACTGCCTGCATAAGACCTGGTATTGGTAACTGTTCTGATATTTGCAAAAGTTATATGTGAGGTTTTTTTCCAGGTTCACTGATATAGTATTTTAAACATCCTTATTAACTGAGCTTTTCTTTAAAGAGTTTAATTATAGAAAAATGCCATTTCAAATCTGTTTGGTCTATGCAACTTGGTTATAACAATATTATGAGGACTCTAATACATATTTTTAAAGATAATAAATAGTTTCTCGAATGACTTGACAACCAGTTGATAATGAGAAGTGAATCACAGGAGCACATCAAAATAAGATAATTTTTTTTTGTTTATGTGACACTAAAACCTGACACTGATAATGTCAAACTCATAACACGTCACTACAGTGAGGACAGTAATGACTCACCTGGTGGATGAGGGATGTCAGCTCAAAGAACATTTCAGTTGTCACAAACAAGAAAACTTGAATTGCCTTAAAATTTTCAAATTATGTGTAAAAGAAAATTGATGGAGATTTTTTCAATTTTATCAACAATACTAAAACTTTGCATGACATTACCAAGAGTTATAAAGCTGATTATTAATTAAACTATTTTTAAACTGATAACAAAAAACAAATGTTGGCCACAGATGCTAGAGGAAAGATGAGAATATAAATCTATTCTTTTTTGTAATTGTAATATGGAGAGGAGAGCAAAAAATATGCAGGCCAAAAAGTATACAGGGAAAAAAGAAGTGACTCAGGTAGTTAATTAATTATGAAAATTCTATGTTAATTTTCTGCATTTTTAATGTATATGCTATTAAATTTATAGTTGATTTTTTTCTTCTAAATACTGTTCATTTTCAAGCCAAGTGATTAAAAAAAAGAAAAGAGAAATAGTGATGGCTATCTGTATAAAGTCTTCTCATCCAGATTTTTCTACTTACCAGGAATAATGAAAATAAGCAGTTTAGGTCTGTTGACATTTTGATCATTAAAGAGGTCATCCCAGGGACCACATTTTAGAACCTGTGTTTCAACTCCACCACACAGAACAAATTCCTCATGTACAGGGATTTCTTCCTTGATTTCTGAGTCCATTTCTAAATAAAGGGAGAAAAGCAGCAAAATGTAAAACTTTGAGCCAAAAATAATTAACTGAAGAATTAAAAAGACAATTTTCAAAATACCAAGAAGGAAATGCTACAGTGTATATAGAAGACTAGCCAGCTATTCTTCTGGGGGTGATATACTGGGAACTGAACCCAGGGGTGTGCTCTATCACTGAACAATATCCCCAATTCCTGCTGCCTTTTAAATTTTTTGAAATAGGATCTCATTAAATTGAAGCTGGCCTCAAACTTGTGATCCTTCTGCCTTAGCTTCTTGAGTCTATGGTATTGTAGGTAAGTGCCACCATGTGGCACACCCAAGAGCTATTCTTGATTCTAGGAATGAAAGATAAAACACACATAGATGGTAATAATGAAAACAGCCTTTGGGAAGCAATCTAGCAGCACTAGTCTATACCCATTAAAGGCATATACTTCAATTTAGTCATTTTGAGGAACTGATTCTTAAAAAATATCAAAAATACTTTTTAAAACTAATGCATGGGGGACTGTGGCTGTGGCTCAGTGGTTAGTGCACTTACCTGGCATGTGTGAGGCACTGGGTTTGGTCCTCAGCACCACATACAAACAAATAAATAAAATAAGGATCTATCAACAATTAAAAAAATTAAAAAAAAACTAATGCATGGAATGCTATTTATTATGGTGAAAAGCTGAAGATCCTATATAGTCATTAATGAAGGAATGGATAAGTGAATTATGATAATCCATTTTGCCGATACTAAAAATTCTATCGACTCAATTTTGGGAATGATTAAACAAGCTGTAGTTCAATATTATGACCAAATGTTACATTCCATCAAGACTGCTATGAAGTTGCTTATAATTTATCCATTTACTTTCTAACATTTTTAAGATTTCACTTCTCCAGTTTGATGTTCTGTTGTTGCTGCTATTCTCTTTGTTTATGCCTTTCCTATTTTTGCTGTCAGCTTAGGGAATTTAGGGAGTAGGAAGAAATAATATACATTCTAATCTCCATGTTTAACCAGAAGTCATACACTCTTTTTTCTTAAATAACAATACTAAGAAAAATGAAAAATCCTTACTTAAAAAGTGGGGACCACTCTTTATTCAAAATATATTGATTAAATAAACAAAACTATCATTCAACTTTTGGTATGAATTGACTTTTAATTCACTAATAAATGTCACTGTAGCCCAACCTCCAAAACTATCTTAAACAGAGTGTTTCTATAAAGGTCTTCTGACATTTACCATGTATTAGAAACAATATTAGATGGAGCTGTGAAACAAAGTATTGAATTAGAACTAACTGTGAAGACACAGGCTACACTTTCACCAGAGGAGAATTCTGAGTTATTAAAAATGCATTCAACTTATAAATATTTGAGACTATGACATCTTGGGAGTTTGATTAGCCAAACTAATGAAAATCCAAGTAGATATGAAATTTAAGTATAGTATATACAAATTGGAAAACAAGCAGTTGCAATTCTAAAACATTTCAAATAAAATAGAACAGAGAAGCATGGAATTAACATGTATTTCTAAAGAATCTTTTACTTTCCTTCACTCTTATATTTCTGATTCCCACGCAGCTATGTATAAGAAGAAAATGAAAACTCAAAAAAATGAGAGTTTGAATTCTTGCTTACCTAAGAATCCAAAGTAATTTAGTTCTGCAAGCAAGTGTCAGATTAACAAAGAAAAATGTGTTACAATTATATATTGAAAAAGGGTGATGGTTCCACCTTCAGCCTCAGCCTATAAATGATCTTGAAGGAAATAAATCTGATAAGCATCAAGATCTAGGTAGGGTGAAAAATCAAGTGTGAACATAACTTGTGCAATCTAGGCAGACCTGTTTTCTTAAATGCAGGTGTTCATTTGTAGATATGTAGAACATATAACAATGTTAGAAACCAATTGGTTTCTAACTTTACGTGGTAAGAGAATTTTTTTCCAACTAAATTGTATGCAAACCTAGACAATATTTAAAAGAGAAAACCAGTATCAGATGGGTATAAAACTTAAGAGATTCAAATCTATAAAATTTGTTATTATAGTATTTATAATGTAAATATTTATAATAACAAGTCTTTATACTATAGCTAGACAATAACCTTACAACTGAACTAATGAACAAAAATAAGTGGAGTATGGGGCTGGGGATGTGGCTTAAGCGGTAGCGCGCTCGCCTGGCATGCGTGTGGCCCGGGTTCGATCCTCAGCACCACATACAAACAAAGAATGACTAAAAAACCATTTTTTAGTTATTCCTTCATTAATAACTAAAAAGTGAATATTAGAATTTTCTCTCTCTCTCTCTAAAAAGTTTATAAAAAAATAAATGGAGTTGTAAATATATTTGATTCAGGCTTCAGCATACATATGCAAATAATGCCTACATTTTATTTTAGGTACTAGAATTGCTTTAGGTACTAGAATTGCCAATGCTAATTAAAAACAAAAAACAAAAAACTCGTGTTGCTATTTCCAGATAGTCTTCAATTAAATTACATTTAACTTAGGAAGATAGTTTTCTTCCAATGCTTAATAATAATAATAACTTGTATTATTTATTACATAAGTGGATAAGAGCTTCTAACTCCTCAAATTGCTAACTCATCAAAAAACAATATAAGAAAATAAACAAAAAGTCAATGGCTCTATTTCAAGTTTTTTTTTTTTTAGTGGCCTAATAGCTAATATCAATATGTTAGTTATATTCATTCAATGTTGAGTATACAAATAACAGAGGTGAGTCTGAGAGTTGTTTTTAATTAGAGGTACTTTTTCTTTTTAAAATATACATTAAAATTAAGTTTGAATCTGCATTAGCAAAGGCAGAGGCAGACTAGCTTGCTTCCAAATAATCTCCATGGAGGACAATTAGAAAAGCTAGAGGAAATATTTTTTAAAATTTGTTCAAAAAGTCAGTAACCACTATAAGAATTGTGTAAGAACATATAACAAGTGTATAAAAAGGGAAACAGAAAATGCAATTAATATAAAACTAAGAGGATAACAGAGAAATGAGACAGAACAAAGATTATGACCTATCAAGATATGCAGAATACAAATAAAAGCACAAGTACAGAAAAATTTAGTCTTGAGATATATACCTATTAGGAAAAAAGATGGAAATCAAGGATCTAGGTAAAGGAATATGAAAAAGCAGACAAATTCAAGTAAATAAAGTAGAAAAAAGATAATGATGAAGAATAGAAATCAATAAGCCAGGGACAAAGGTTTATATTAGAAAGCACTACTGAACCCAAAATTCTGTTCTTTGGAAAGACCTATAAATAAGTAAGCCCGTGAAGAGACTTATCAAGGAAAAAGAAAGCCCAAATAATCAATGTTACAGGTGAAAAAAGGACATCTCTCCAGATTCAAAAAGGTGATAAAATAATATGAGCCTGGGGATGTAGTTTAGTGGCACAGAATGTACAAGGATCTGGGTTCAATCCCTAGCACCATTCCCCTCCCTTCAAAAGGAATATTTTAAAGAACTTATGCCATTAAATTTAGCATGGAAAACTTCTAAGAAAAACAGATACCAAAAGACTAGAAGAATCTTAATAAATCTATGTCTATTCAAAACACAGAATTCATAATTCTTGATAAAATGAAAGAATCAATACTTCAATGAAAAAATAACACCAATCTTGTATGTCCAGAGAATAGAAAAAGAACTGCTTCTCAATTCATTTTATGAATCCAGCAAACTCTGATATCAATACCTAACAAGGATAATATAAGAAAAGAAAATTATAGGCCAATCTCCCTCATGGGTATAATGCAAAAACTCTACTCATAATATTAGCATATCAAACCTAGTAATATATAAAATACATGACAGCCAAATTGTGTATATATCAGAAACAAAATGTTGTTTAAATATTCAAAATTTAATAATTTTAATTGACTATATTAATTGAATAAAGGAGAAAAAGCACATAATCACCTCAATCTGCACAGAAGTATATTTGATAAAAACCCAATATCATGAAACCCAATAGTCACTCTTAAAAAAGAAACATATCTTCTTTTATAAAATATAAATATAAAATACATTTGTAAATATAAAGTATATATAAAACTTATAGCAAACATATTATTAAAAGTGAAATACTGAATGCCTTTCTGAGTTTGGGGTCAAGAAACAGAGGTCTGCTACCAACACTTCTAACTCTAAATTGTATTTGAGGTCTTAAGCCAATGCAACCAGACATGAAAAAGAAATAAGGGTATGTGAATTGGATAGGAAGAAAATGTCATTCTTCACAACATGATTACATAAGAGAAAATCCAAAAGAATAAATATACACTATTTGAATGAATAAGTGGATGCAACATGGTCTTTAGATAAAAAAAAATTACTAAAAACCAAATACATTTCTATATACTAGCAATGAGCAACTAGAAAGTGAAACGTTTTTTGAAAAGATACCACTTATAACTACATGAAAAAAATCCAATACTTACAAAAAAATCTAACAAGAGTTATAAGATTTACACAGAAAGCTTTACAATTTCCTTGAATATCTCTAATTACTAGAGATCTTGAACATTTTTTCTGTATTTGTTGACTGATTATATTTCTTCTGTGAGGTGTCTGTTCAGTTTCATAGCCCATTCGTTGATTGGATTATTTGATTGCTTTTTTGAGTTGTTTATATATCCTGGAGATAAATGCTCTATTTGAGGAGTGACACAGCCACATAAATGTTTATAGCAGCTCAACTCACAATAGCTAAACTATGGAACCAATCTAGGTGCCCTTCAACAGATGAATGGATAAAATGTGGTATATATACAAAATGAAGTATTACTCAGCCTTAAAGAAGAATGAAATTATGGCATTTGCCGGTAAATGGATGGGACTGGAGAATATCATGCTAAGTGAAATAACCCAATTCCCCCAAACCAAAGGCTGAATGTTTTTTCTGATATGTGGGTACTAATTCACAATGGGGGGTGCTAGGGAAGAATAAAAGTACTTTGGATTAGGTAGAGGGGAGTGAAGAGAGGAGGGGGATATATTAGGAAGGACAATAGAAAGAATTGGACATTATTACCCTATGTGCATATATGACTACACAACCAGTGTGATTCTATATCATGTGCAACCAGAAAAATGAGAAGTTATACTCCATTTAGGTATGATGTGTCAAAATGCATTCTACTGTCATGTATAACTAATTAAAACAAATTTTAAAAAATGAATGAAATCGATAAACTGTCAAGGAAAAACACATGAAAACACAAGTCGCTAAAATCAAGAATGAAACAGGTTACTGCTGAAGACCCTGCAATACCATCACTGATACCAAAACCAGACAAGGACAGGACAAAAACAAACTAAACAAACAAAACCACCAATATCTCTCTTACAAAATATTAGTAAATAGAACCCAGCAACATATAAAACAAATATTATACCACAATCAAGTGAAATTTACTCCAGGAATGTTCAACATTCAGGAATCAATGAATGTCACAATAGCTAAGCTGTGGAACTAACCTAGATGCATTTCAAAAGATGAATGGATAAAGAAACTGTGGTATATATACACAATGGAATATTACTCAGCATTAAAAGAGAATAAAATTATGGCATTTACAGGTAAATGGATGGAATTGGAGAATGTCATGCTAAGCGATGTAAGTCAATCCAAAAAAAAAACCAAAGGCTAATGTTCTCTCTGATAAGTGGATGCTGATCCATGTGGGAGGGGCATGGGAAAAAATAAAGGAATTTGGGGAAGGGGGGAGAGGGGGCACAGGGGTAGTAGGTAAGATGATGGAGTGAGATAGACACCATTACCCTGGGTACATGTGTGATTGCACAAATGGTGGGACTCTGCATTGTGTACAACCAGAGAAATGAAAAGTTGTGCTCCATTTGTGTACAATGAAAAGAAATGCATTCTGCTGTGATAAATAACCAATTAGAAAAAAAAATCAATGAATGTAACTCACCGTATCAATAAGCTAAAGTCATATCAATTGACTAACTGCACACTTACCATGTGACCCAGCATTTTACTCTTGGGCTTTTATCCCAGAGAAATAAAAACTTTATGTTGATTCAAAAACCTTCAAACAAAGGTCCATGGTATCTCAAATCATCATATTCCAAAAATGCATACAACCCAATTGTCTTTCAATGAGTGAATGGTTAAACTCAGTGTAGGATCCCTGAATACTACTCAGCAACAACAACAACAAAAATGATTGATACAAATAACTTGGATGGAATGGAAAGCAATTATATTGAGTTAAAGAAAAAACAAAAGCCAAAAGCCAGTTTTAAAAAGTCATGTACTTATGATTCCATTTATGCAACTTTCTTGAAATGATATTTTTTTAGAGATGGAGAGATTGGAGTAGGACTAGATGGTTCTATAAAGCAGCAGATATAAAGTCTTGTGCTAATGAAATAATTCTGTATCTTGCTTTATTATAATAATTATAAAAGCTACATGTGTGATAAAATTGCATAGAACTGAGTACACACACAAATGAGTGCTTATAAAATTGGTGAAATTTCAATTAACTGTATATTACACCAATGTCAATCTCAATTACCTGGTTTTAATATTGTTTTGTTGTCATTCAAAATGTTACCATTGGGGAAGCTTGGCTGAGAAGGGATGGGGACTTTCTTGTACAGTTTTTTTTGCAACCTCTATAAAATCTATAATAATTATTCAAAACAAAAAATTAAAACCACAAAACTTAATTATGCATTTATTTAATTGCAAACTGTTTAAGTGGTATGACAAAGAAAAATCAGGAATACCACACAGCTCCATATAAACTTCAAAACATACAGTTGCAAGTCAACATATAATATAAATGCATAAACAGAATACCTTTAAGGTCACTGTAACTATTTGTATCTACTCCATCTTACTCCAAAATAACCTGTTAATGGAAGTAACTGTTTTCTATATCCTGATTTACAGATAATTTCCCCACTTGCAACCAACCACTTTCTTTTTGTAGTTCTTCTCATTTGCAAAGTACATTCAAATCCTTTCTCATTTAAACAAAGCCTACAAAGTAGAGAGTGCAATCAACAGAGTGAGAAATTGAAGGTCAAGTTTTTTCAAGGTCGTTTAATGGCAAAATCAATTTTATAGTCTTTGGACTCCTATTACACTATTTTTCCAGCTACATATTATGTCAAAAATTTTATGTACTATTTAAGATCAAAGAACAAATTACATAATGTTGTAGGGGAAAGTCCAAGAGAGAATAAGTATGATATGTGTTAGACCAAGATTCTACCTGGTGTTCTAAGCCTCTGCTAGATAAGTGGATATATGAACAGCAATTTTACAACTTTTTTTTCCTCTTACACCTTTTACATTCACTTTTTTTTCTTATACCTTTTCAACTTTCTCTAATTTTGCTATTTGAATATGTGCTGCATGAGATTTCTCAAATCTGTACAAGTGGGTCAGAAAACCAAACTTGGATGATGAATATAAAATCCATTACTACTGTTGAGGAAATATAAAAACTAAGGCATACATTACACTTAGGATGGATTTGCTAAATTATCTTGACTTTAAAAGATGTTTTCCATAATTCTTTTATTGCTTCTAATTCACCAATTATTTTATCAAATTTGTAAGCATTTTTTTTTTAATGTGCCAGAAAACAGCTTTCAGCCTCTTGACATCAAGGACAAGAATTTCAAAAGTTTGAAGACTACTGGACTTGCATGTTAAATACTCATTAAAGCAGTATACTAATTTCCCTTTGCTCAAAGTATAAAGTGGACTTCAAAATTAAGTGCTTGATCCTAAGTATATTATAGTAATTTTACAAGTAAGGAAATGCTGAGAGGTTATGGATCTTTTGAGGGGAAGAAAATCACCTAATCTAAAAGCCTTAGTTGTAAAAATACAAGATATTAAAATGTAAAATTTCAGAAAAGCACCTGCTGTGTTGCCTTTATCGTCCCCTAACATCCTACATGCTAGGAAGCCAGGCTTCAGGGTCTTCAAGCCTTTCACTTTTAGGTAAAAAAAAATGGAAAACACCTAACAGACAACTCAGATATTCTTACTCATAGTTTCAGAAAGAAGTTGAAAGTAAACCTTTTGCACAAAGACTGGAGCTTGTTCTAAATTCTGCTTCTTTTGTTATATATTTCTCTTTTCTGATAGGAATGTGACCTTAGAACTTCAGAAGGGATATTATAAACTCTCCAGAACTGGCAGACAGGACACAAAACAGATGTCCAGTAACTACTTGCGAGGAACAAATGAATTAACGAATCAAGGAACAAAGGGTCCGGATCTGCATGCTGTCTTGGGTGGGGAAAAACTCCCCGAGGTGAGTACACAGTGGGCCTTAAGTGTGAACGGAAAGCGGTGTGCGCACTAGATGCTCGCTGCAAATCACACCCCGGACCTGACTTTGATCCCTCCGGGCCGCGTCTTGCGGGCCAGGTGCCCAACGTCCAGGCCCCTAGTCCCCACCGTGGGCTGCATTTAGCAGTCCAAAAGGTGCGTCCTCTAGCTCTGGGGAGCCGCGATAAGCCGGCAGCCCCGGGGCCTCCCGCTCCAGGAAGCTCATGACCGCAGAAGTGTCTCAGCACCGTTAATTCCGGCTCAGTGGAAGGTCCGGCCAAGGGCCGCGAGGCCTCTGTGAGGAGCTGCAGGGAGAACAGGGCCCCGAGCCAGCCCGCCTGATTTCCTGAAAGTCAGCGAAGCCTGGAGAGCGGCACCTCACCTGTCTGCCCACAAGGTCCCCGCTGAAGTTCCTGGGGAGGCGTGCTTGGACCGGAAGTTCCGCCTTATGACGTCACTGTATTGCGCCGCGCTCCGCTCTCGGGGCGCTTACGCGTTTACGGCGCGCTGCGCGCGGGCGGTGGGATGTTGCTGTTCCTGGCGTGGAGCCGGGTGTTAAGATGCCGCCAATCTACGTTGAGTGGGAGCGGTGTCCTTTTCTCTTTCGTTTGAATTTTATCCGCCTCCTGTTGCCTCTCATTCTTGATATACTCCTGCCTTCCTTTCTCTCTCATTTTTTCTCTATTTCTCCCCTTTTGTTTCCTCTGTCCATTTCTCGCTTCCTGCATCACTGGTTGCATCTCTTCCCTTCACGAACACAGGAAAGTTGATTCTCAGCTGACCTTGTATATTAACATTAGTGTGGCCAGCCTCAGATGCGCTACACTTTAGGGTTGTATACTATTTCAAAGATACTTTGAACTAACCACCTCCAAACTCCATGAAGACAGAGGTTATGTCTGTGTGACTTGTATGCCCAGCACCTGCTACTCATCAGGTGATCAGCATATGTCTGACCAAATATGCGCTATTGTGAATATGACAGTCTTGTAGCCAGAGAAGAAGCAGAGAAGTAGACTAGCGAGTCATCAATGATTCTCACACTTAGAAAACGACATTTGCTCCTTTTAAATTAAACATCTCAGTGGTCCACACTACCATCCAATCAGCTGTTGAAAGTAGACTGGTAATTCTTCCTCACACTCAGAGGTAATATTTAATGAGTTCAGGGAAAAAAAACCCACTCCCTGTGCTAAGAGCTTTTCATGAATTAGCTCATTTTTTAAATCCTCAGAGCGTTCCTATGAGGTTAGTATTAACAAGTGACATARGGCCTGGAAGTAAAGCAAATACATAAAATAAATTATTGATTACATTACATTATAATGACATTACATGATATGTCCAAGGTGGTGTCCCTTGTTACTAATACTTGGTTCAATATGTGTACCAAATTCTCGTGAACATGGCTCATTTGTATGAGCATTTTTTTTTTATCCTTGCATATGTATTTGTGATACATCGCTTTGGGTGATTTATGTCTCTGATTTAATTAAGCCTGTGGCAGAATTAACCACAGAGGTTCAGTCTTAAACAAAAAAATCTTTCCAGACCCTATGGCAATTCAGTATTATTCATGTTTACCCATAGTGCAAAAAGAGGTGTTGAGAAATTAAGTAATTCTTCAAGATCATTTGGCAGAGCCAGACTCTCTTACCGTTACATAACACAGTCACACACAAGCATTACTCTTGAATAACATATCATTACCTCTTTTGTGGTTCAAACACCTAAACTACTTGCAGCCACTTCTCCCCATATTCTCTCTTTCCTTGTAATTTTTGGAATGTCCATGTTCTTTATAGTAAAGTTGTTATACTTTTGCACACACTGTTTCCTCTGCATGGATTGCTGTTTGCCCTTCCCTCCCCAGTGTGCCCTTCTCCACTAATTTACTCTAACACATGATTCAAGATTCATTTTCAAACAGTGGTTCCTGATGCCACCAGGTATGGTAAGGTTTCCTCCTTTATACTTATGTATTATCGTTTACATTTTTCTGTTAAGATACTTCTTTGTCTGTCTCCTTCACTAGACTGTGAGATCCTGGAAAACGTGTACCTTTTTGTTCTTTCACTTTGTATTTTCTAGGTCTAGATAGAATGTGATATATGGCAGGCATGCTGTAAGTCTGTGTTTAAATGACTACACTCGGAACTGTTGATCTCCGACTCCAAGGGCAGGAATTCCTCTGTACCTCATTACAGTATGGAAATGGGATCTAAAAAAACTGTTGGGAGCTGAGGAAAATTTTCTCTCCATCTCTTGACTTAAATTTTCTCTGGGCATCTGTTTCATCATTCTTTGATTCCCAGGCTACATGACAGAATATGGTTCTGCAATTATTGCATTGATGGAGTTATTAATGCTATTCAGATAGTTTCTAGACACATGGTAAGATTGATCTTGTTTTATAGTTGGGTGTTTGGAGTTAAGGGAGGAGTGACAAGATAGGAGAAGTTCTGGCCAATGAGGTATGAAGAGAAATGATGGGTAACTTCTAGGCTGAGCAGTTGATTTTTGTGTTGAGTCCTCTGACACTTCACATTTTCATTTGATGGGGTGATGGCAACATTCAAGATAGTGTCTGTGCCAAAAGCCTGTGTCCTTGAGTAGCTATTTCTGCCCAGAATATATTCAGTATGTGATGACATGTTATGAAAAAGAAGTAACCTTTTTTGTTTAAAGTTCTCAAGATTGTTCGCAACTGTAGTACAATAGAATCTGACCAGATTGTTGCAGAGGGAAAGCCACACACTGGTTCTTTTTTATCACTCTTTCAATTTTTATTCTAAATATCCAGAAGAGAATATCTCATTGGTCTAGTGTAGGTCTGAGGTACAGCAGTTGTCCAATCATCAGTGACAAGTGCTAGTGGTTGTATTGGCCTTCTGCTAACATGGATAAGATGATCATAGTTAATGGAGCAGACATTCCACAAAGATGTTTGTCAGAAGCACAAATGGCATAAAAGTAGACCCTTGTTTACTGATCTTAAATGACATGTTTACCTTTTACATACAAATTTTAGACTCTCATTGCTTGTTCATTTTTACTAACTGTTACATTTCAAGCACTCTTCCAGACTGCAGATACAAAGGCAATCCAAACAAAAAAAGTCTCTAATCTCACAAATATAATACAAGCAAATTAAACAGATTAATAAATTATGATGGCATAAGGGGAACTGAAAGGCAATGTTAAAGATAATGAGAAGTGTATTACTATTCTATTGTTTAACAACTTACCAAAACCATAGCAGTTTAAAAAATGCACATGTTTTACTTCATACAGTTTCTCCTGGTTGGGAAACTAGGAGCAGCCTAACTAAGAGAGATTTAGGGATACCAATATCATGTTCTTCAGGACCCACCTTGACAGGTTATGGTACCAAGGAATATAGTGGAAGGGGAAGAAAGTCACCTCTTGTAAAGCAGAGAAAGTCAGCCTAATGTCCCTGAATGTGAATTATTTCAGGGTATTGTCAGTAACATGTAGCATTTACAAAAAGGAAGTTGCAGCGGATAGTTGAGAGCTCTTTGGCTTCTTGTGGATAACATTATTGAAAAGGAAGAGAGGGAAAAGGTTGCATTTGCGATATAGCAAAGATCAACTATGTAGGGAACCTGTAGACAATGCCTCAGTACTTCCACAGTTGTTGGAGACCCTCTCGTGGAAGTGAAGAAGTAGCTGGGGATCCTCTGGAAGACTGAATATTCCACAAAGCAAGGAAAATGAGACAGAGAAATGGGCAATACCTACATCTTTATGGTAGGAAAAAATAGTCCTGATGGATGTTATCAGAATGCTGGAAGGACCTGTGCTTATTAATCAGAAAGTTTTGTCTTCTCCCTTATTACTCTATTGCACAGAAAATAGGAACTCTTTGCTTATACATACCTTGATTTAGTATGTGCAGACTATATAAAAAGGAGCAAGAGGAAGAAAAGAGAGAAAAGATAAAAATTAGATAACTAAGATTTCTTTTCAATGTACATTCTAGAGATAAGATTCTTAGTTATAAATGGTAGTGAATTTAAATTTTAGTTTTCTACTGGCTCTATAGTGAATTTTTCTTATTTGTGCATTTACAAGTAGAGATAATTCTAAATGTTTTTCAGTGTATAATTGTTTAATGAAAAATCCACAAAATGGAATTGCTGTTCCCTGAGATCCTCATGAATTCTTTTCTCAAACACTTTTGTCAAGAAAACAGATCCACATAATGTGTCATCTTAAGACATAAATTAAAACTCAAGATATGTTTTTTTAAAATTTATAAAAAGTGTACTATTTTAGGGCTGGGGTTGTGGCTCAGTGGTAGAGTGCTTGCCTTGTATGCGTGAGGCACTGGGTTTGATCCTCAACATCACATAAAAATAAATAAATAAAATAAAGATATTGTGTCCCTCTACAACTAAAAATTTTTAAAAAATGTACCATTTTAATCTTTAAAAAAATCTAAGGCGAGTAAAGATAATACCTAAACATTGACAAAACTATATTCAACTTCCTTATTATGACTAAACTGATCCTCCTGACTATTAATAATGCAGAAAACCTAACAAAAGTCAGAAAAATTTGATCAGTGAGAGTCAAAGATTCTTGCAAAAGTTCTGCTCATGGATTATACTGCCTTCATGGTGTCCTTGCCATCCAAAATGATTCAAACTATAAATACACATGTATTTGCATATGTAATTGCATGTGTGTATATATATATGCACACACATGTGTATGTAGATGTATAAATGCATGTATGTTTGCATGTATATGAGATTAAAATAATATTGTATTTAATACTTTTAAGATAATTCACCATATGTAGTATAACTACAATTCCAAATGTTTTCTTTTAACTCATTCTGTGGTTCCTTGGTCCCCATCAAGGAGCACACCATAAAGAAGCTTTTATTGTCTGGGCAGGGTATAATTAGGATTAAAAAATATGGGATATGTAGTTCAACTATCTCTATAAATTAAGAACAAAGTACAAATTGGAACAAGGTACAGATGACTACTCCTTTAGAGTACAATATGTTCCCATTTTATTGGATTCCTCAGAAACTAATAGCTCCATTCAGCAAGGTTTTTGTAGGCTAATAATACTGCTACAGAACTTTTACAAATCATTCCTTTTTAACTTTTAATGGAGACTTTTTATTCTCCAGTAAAAACAAGAATAGAGTTTTTCATAGAACAAAATTCCTTCTCATATTATCCATGTGACTGGTCTACTGAAAGGTGGCTCTCCAAAGATGTCCACATCCTAATCTGTGGTACATTACATAACGAAAGGATGTTGCATATGTGGTTAGAATGTATTAAGGATCTTCAGATGGGGAGGTGTTCTGGATTATTTAGGTGAGATGAATATGATCACTAGGGTGAATGTAAGGGGAAGGGAGGAGTACTCCCAT